TTTTTGAAATTTTATTTGAAAAGGTGACACTAAATATACTTCCTCAAAGGGTTGTTTTTAGGGCAGAATTTGGAAACTTTGTTAGTACCCTTTGTATTATTTTGCAAATAATAAAATTGCATTTGAAAAATGAAGGGGGAAGTTCAGACTTCAAATTCAATATCAAAATTGGCCTGTAAGTGGTTATCTTAGACTGTGAACACAACCTAATGACGCTCTGTATTTGGGTGTTTTACTTGTGACAAAACAGAAATTTTAATGCTTCTAAGAATATTTTAGAGGTTGAAACAGATTTGTGAGATATATGAGCAGGGAAGTGTTTAAGGTAAGCACAAAGCCACAAGTAAAAGCCTGTTTGCCTTACGTTTTGCTTGTGCGTATGCCCTGTTAGCTTCTGGAAATTGATAAGGAGATGATAGAAAGTATTAGCATGTATGGAAAAGACAACTATTCTCCCCGGCATGCACAGATCTGTAACAGCTGCCACATCAGTCATGTGCACAAGATGCGAAGGCTGCAGCATCGTTCCAGTGTGGCAGGCTGGGCAGTGTCGGCAGTGTGTTCATAATAAAAACTGGCAGGGAAGCAGATTGAGATCAGAAAACCAAAGTTAAATGCTGTCTGGAACTGACAGTGCAGAATAAAGCAGTGTAATGAGACAGAGTTCTTGCAGGTAAGGAATGGGAGGTATCATCTTCCCCCTGAAATGCAGTAGTTGTGGCACCGTGGGACATAAAGCACAAGCAAATTGAAGTAAACAAAAATGTGAAGCAAGATGAGTGCTTTATTTAGCTTGAAAAATGTACAATAACAAAACAGAAACACTGCATTCTAAGAAAACTTGCTTTTTCTTCAGAAGGCTCTCCCTTTTAGAGAGAGAATTTCAAATTCTTCTGAAGTGTGTGTCCAAGTAACTGATGTCTGCTCTGTCCTAGTAGAAACAATGTCGAAATGTTCAAAACGCTAGGAGGAAACTGGCCTAGATCAGAAGACCGTTGTGACAAGCTGACCATTTTGCTTCATAGGGTGTGTCGGTCTGAATGAGACACCTCTGACCCTTGTGATTCATGGGGTAGCTCTGTCTGAATGGGACAACCTGGAGGTTTTTACCTACGAACTCCAACAGCTGTAACGTTCCCTCAGCCCTTCTCTGTCACATCTGTCTCCCATCCCTTCCCCCTTTGGACCTAGTATAAAGACCTGGTAATCAATCACAGAATCACAGAATGGCCCAGGGTTGGAAAGGACCTCAAGGATCATGAATCCCCACCCCCCTGCCACACGCAGGGCCACCAACCTCCCCATTTAACGCTGGACCAGGCTGCCCAGGGCCGCATCCAACCTGGCCTTGAACACCTCCAGGGATGGGGCATCCACAGCCTCTCTGGGCAGCTGTTCCAGTACCTCACCGCTCTCTCTGTAAAGAATTTCCCCCTGACATCCAACCTCAATCTCCCCTCCCTCAACTTCAAGCTGTTTCCCCTCGTCCTGCAGTTGTCAGCCCTTTCCAAGAGTTGATTCCCCTCCTGTCTGTAGGCTCCCTTTAGGTACTGAAAGGCTGCAGTGAGGTCACCCCGCAGCCTTCTCTTCTCCAGGCTGAACAAGCCCAGCTCCCTCAGCCTGTCCTCACAGGGGAGGTGCTCCAGTCCTCTGATCATCTTCGTGGCCCTCCTCTGGACCCTCTCCAACAGCTGCCTGTCTTTTTTGTACTGGGGGCTCCACACCTGGACCCAGAGAGCTTGTTCCCCAGCACGCTTCTGCCCTGCTTGCTCACTTGGAGTCCATCAGGAGCCCATATACCGAATTTCTCTAAGGCCTGCCCGAGACCAAAACGCCCAAAGCCTTGATCGAGACGCCATCCCCTAGCCAGTCATTTACCTGACACGTTCTCCTCCATCTTCCTGGCTCCCAGCTACCCACCAGAAGGGCACAGGAGAACTCTGCCCGCACCCCTGATCCCTTCAGCATCTTTCCAAGGGATGCAAAGTCCTTTTAAATAATTATTTAGTTTCCTCATTGCAGCATCCTAGGTCCCAGCCTGAGTGACAGTAGGAGAGCAGTCTTGTGCCTTAATGAGCCACAGACGAACCTTCCCGATGCCTCTAACACGTGCCCCTGGAAGAGATCACGCCTCACTGGAGCGATTATCCAGGTGGCAACTGGGAGCCTCAGTGCTCCCCAGCAAGGAGTCCCCAGTTAC